ATCTCCAGCACAGTTTGATTTCCTTAAATCCAGCTAACAGACCTCTGCGGACCCTCAGACTTGGCTTTTCTGCCCTGGGACTCAACAGGGAGGTGCAGAAGCACTGGGCTTAATTCTTCTGTGTGTTTTTTCCTGTTCCTTTTGATAAATGCTGTAGCTGGAGGATGAAGTTAGATCTGTGGAGAGGTTTCCCTGCTTTCTCTGGAGGTTCAGGTTGGTTTTGCACCCAGCAGGCAGGACCAGTTTGTAGGAAAGCTGCTGGAACAGCAGCAGGGTGGACTGGGGTGTGAGCGCAGAAAATTTTCCAGACTCAAGTTCCGTGGAACAGTCGTTGCTGGTGTCTACACAGCGTCATCGCGTGTCTGTGCCGCATCCCCAGCCTGCGCACGGGTGGCTGGAGCCACCCGTTCCCGCCGTCTGGCCCCTCCAGCCTCCCCGGTTCCCCCAGGATGGTGGGGTCGGTCGTCAGCCTTCGCTCTGCGCCCTCCCCGCTCGAGACACTTCATTTTGGAGGGTTCCACGCCACGCTGGTGGTGTTTGCAGCATGCTGTCACCGCTGGTGAGCGCGAGGGGACGCTACGGTGCGTCGGCGATGCCGTTATATCCAAGAGAAGCGGTGCTGGTGACCCAGCGCGGTTGGAAGTGCTGCTGCCTGCTCCTCGGGGACAGAGCATGTCGCAGCCTCGGGCAACCACGGGGACAAACCACGGGCTGCGAGGTTGGGGATTTTCTGGTCAGTGTTGTCTTTATCCAGGTCTCCGGCCTTTTTCCCATCTCTTGAGCATGTCTAAACCCAGCGATGAGATTTCAGTTTCTCTCTCTCTGTTGCTCCCCGGGCTGTGGCTGCGGCAGATGGAGCTGGGGGGGGGGTCCGGCAGGGGGGGTGCCGCCTCTGCCGTTGCCGTAGAGCGCTTTCACAAAACCTAAAGTCTTGTAGTTGCCTCCTGGGGTGGAGCAGGATGAGGGTTTGAGCACCCTCAAGTGTTTCTGGCGGGACGGAGCTTGGAGATGCCAGAGATGAGCAAGAGCTTGCCTCAAGCCAGGCTGCTGAGAGCAACGTGAGCTCGGCGTGGTCTGGGGCAGCTTGGCGGTAGGATGGGGCAAGTGGAGCGTGTTTGGCTAAGGAAGATCCATGACACCCTGTCCCAACAGGAGGGGACTTTCTGGGGTCAAAGATCAGATGCTGAAGGAAGAGAGGCTTCCTTGGGGGATCTGAGCGGTGCTGGTGGTACCCACGGTTGGCTGTCGTGGTTCCCTTCCCCAGGCTGCCCCAGCACTGGGGTTTGTTCTGGGGTCTCGCGCAGGAGAGCAGACAAGGCCGGGTCGTTCTGTTCACTCTGAAACCTTGTGACTCTGCCGCTGGGGCTGCAGCTCAGGGTGGGCTCCGTGTCCCCATGGCTGCTGACGCTCCTCTCCTTCTCCGCAGTGACCGCCGCCAGCCCCACGAGGACTCTCTACGTCACGTCGGACGCCAAGCTGTCTGCGCTTACCAAGTCCGTGATGGGTGAGGCTACCTCTGTCCCTCTCAAACTGCCAGGCATCCAGCCTTCCTCCTCCTCATCCGCCAGCTCTCCCACTGGCACTGTGACCTTTGCCACCTCCCCGCTGGCCAGTGCCCCCAGCCCTCCCAGCAGCCTGCTCCGCTCCAAGGTGGGACCTGTCCTCCAAACCACTTCCAAGACCCTCATCCTGACCTTCACGCTGGCCCCGGTGAAGGGTGACAGACCCTTGGGACACACTGGGGACAAAGTCAGCCTGACCAGGAGTGCCATGGCCCTCGGCCATGCTCTGGGGACAGTGGAGACCCTGGGGAGGGTTCCCTCTGTGGTGGATGGCGGGAGCACCATCGCCCACAGTCGCAACGCTCTGCCCAACAGACGCTTGCTGCCTGGAGGGGCTGGCACTGCGCTCGTCACGCTGGGCAGCAGCTTGGCCAACCCCTCTGTCATCGCCACAGCCAGGACCACGCTCAGCCAGAAGCCATAGGGATCCCCCCGGGGACCCTCAGCTGTCACCGGCGTTTCAGGGAGACTGAGCTCGGCTGTGGGGTGGGAGAGGAGCAGCCCCCTGGGCACGGGGGGAGCAAACCAAGGGGATGTTTTTCTGGTTTTGTTGCTGTTTAATAAATTTTTTTTGTTTTTCTTTACTGACTGTATTGTGCACGTCCCTTCCAGAAGCAGCTTTGGTTGCAGCTCAGCCCTCAACTGCTTTTGTCGGGGGCTGATTTCTTGGGGGACAAAGCAGCCTTGTGCAGGCAGGGAAAAGTTGGAAAAATTCGTGCTGTGAGGGCAGCAATCAGGGCGGCTCCTCCTCCCGGTGCGTCCCTTCTCAGGGTAGAAGCTTCAACTGATCCCTCCTCCTGTTGGAAATATTTGTACGTGCTGAAAAAGGCTCAAGTTAATCTGTCCTGAGCCCTGACTTAACTTTTTGGGTTGTTTGCAGCGGTGAGCAGGGGGAGCGCCAGGGGCTGGAGATGAGGGAAACGGCAGAAGGGGCGACACAACGGTGCTGAGCCGCAGATCGGGTGTGGAGATGGTGAGGCCGAGTTTGAGGGTGGTTTGCCAGGGCTTAGGACAAGTGTTTCCTCCCCTCACCAGGGCTGTCCCGGGGCTCTGGGGCTTGTTCTCACAGGACAGAGCTTAGAGCTGGGACTTGGGTGTTTTTGTGGTTATCAGGGAGAATCCCTCTGCGTCTCCATCCTGTCCTGCTGCACCCCGAGCCCTCCCCCCTCACTCCCCCAAAGGGACACAATTTGCCGGCTGAAATGTTTTTGGGGAGCATGATTCTCAGTGGACGGACACCCATGGGGTGCCGGGGCAGCTCCGTGCTCCCCCTCAGGACAGGCACGTTTCCGAAATCTCCGCTCACTGCCTCGTCCTGCCGCTTGGTAAGAAGCTCCTGGTTTTGGCTCAGCTTGGTTGGGACAGCCCACAGCAGAGGCAGGGCGTTTGCTCCAGAGACCCCGAAAATGGAGCAGCAGCAGAACTGTTTTCCCCTCGGATGGCTGTATTTGCTCATCGTGTGAAGAGGGAGATGCCTCGAGTTCCTTCCCACCTCTCCTGGGCTATCCACACGCTGCTCCAGACGCTTTGCCTTCAGGGCCTCTTGCACCCTGGACTTCACACCGCGTGATGGTGAGTAGCCGTCTGGAGCGTGCTGAGCCCTGATGAGCCCAAGGGCCTCGCTTCCCTTCTCCCTCGGGTTTTGTGGAAGCAAAAAAAAAAAAAAAGGAAAAAAGAAAAATGGGCAGGATTTTACTTTGCCAGCAATCCAGGCTCAGCCCAGGCAAACCTTCCTGCAGGGCGCGGGGTGACTTTGAATCCCAAGGTTGAGCTGGCCCCTGGCGGGGGGGATGTGCCAATGGGATGCCACTAAACGTGGTCCCTTCTCCCCACGCTGACAGTGAAAACAGCCGGGATGAGCTTAGGCTCCACTCAGGCATACGCAGCAGCCATGAAAACAAGTGGGTCTGGTAAAAACAAGGGTCTGCTGTTGTCCTGCAGCGTTTTTAAGTGGCTCAACTCTCTTTTTTCCAGGGTTGAAGTCCCAGTCTCTCCGCTGCAGTAAGAATAAGGAGGCTGAGACACCCCCAGGGACACGGCACCTCTGCTTGGGAAGACTTGAGCTCCATGGCCACATCCTTGCTCACAAACTGGGATTGACGGGAGGTGTTTTGCCAGAGAAGCTCTTGGGGCGCAGCCGGGGCTGTGTGTAATCCCTGTCCAATGGCCAGGCCGGAGGATCCTGGAGGGGGTGTGACCGTGGTGCTGCTCTTCCAACATCATGGAGTGACCAGTGCTGCCTGGGGCTAATTCTTTTCCAAAGTCTTTCCTTTCTGTGGACACAGCCGAAGTGGTCCTTAAAGCCAACGGGCTGCTCCTGCTCCCCATGAACCCTCTCTGGGGACAAGCAAGTGCCACCGTCCCCCTGCCCTTTCTGCTCCGGCAGCTTGTGGCGAGGTGCACAGGCTGG